TGATGTTATTGGTGCCTACATGAAAAAGACGGTCTTACTTACTGACAATTATTCTTCAATTTGAAAAGATGTTGCTTCACCTGTAATATATCCTAGAGATTTTCTTCATTGTTTGGAAGCCAGTGTAACAAAATAATAAAAATTGAAAAAAATTAACAAAAAATGCTTTAAAATGCAAAATACGCCAAAAAATTTAAAGAAAAATACCCTATAAATCTAAAAAAATGCTCCAAAGGACAAAGAATGTCCAAAAATGCAAAAAATGTAAAAAAAATGCAAAAGTCATCAAAATCCGGGCCTTAGTGATTAGGTTTTCTTGATATTGTATTCTCCGTGCAAAGCAAATGTGGGGTAAATCCATCAAAATAGACACCACGAAGATTGTTTGTCATAATACTTGATTAGGAGTTTCTTTGTCTTCTGGGTCAAATATCTTGTATAAGTAATTCAGCCGAAAATGCATAATGCATTATATAAATCTGTAAACTATAAAAAAAAAATATAAGAAAGAGTAATAAAAATTTTTTGGATCACCGGCTACCATGTTCACGAATTTTTTTATTTTTGCAATAAAAAATTATTTATAAAATAATATTCAATCTAATTATGTTAAAGGGGATTGAAAATATTCTTAAGCTTAAGCACTTAGTCAACATTTTCTAAGAAATTATATTCATAAGATAAAAAATTAAATTTAAAAATAAATAATAATAATAATAAAACTGTAGCAAGATAAAAAGAAAAAAAAATGTTTTATAATGAAAACTTTCAAGAATTGAAATTTAAAAAAACGAATGACAATATAATTAGAAAATTTCATTAATTTCAAATAATAATTAATAATTTTAATCATAAATTTTCTTAAAAAATAAAAGTATGGTACATTAACAGTTGCATACAGACATGAGTAAAAATGTTGAAATAAGTTTAAACAAAATATTATTTCGGTTCTAGGCAATTAACTACAAAAGAGAATAAAAATTAAGTCTTTTTTTCTTTATAATCAACATTCTCTAAGAAATTGTATTCATAATATAAAAAATTAAATTTTAAAATAATTAATAATTAAAGTGTAGTAGGATAAAAAGAAAAATAAATGTTTTATAATCAAAACTTTCCCGAATTGTAATAAAAAAACGAATGACATTATAACTAAAAAAAAAATTCGTTAATTTCGAACAGTAATTAATAATTTTAAAAAAATAATAAATTTTCTTAAAAAATAAAAGTTAAATACATAAACAGTAACATAAAAACATGAGTAAATGTTGAAATAAGTTAAAACAAAATATTATTTTGGTTCGAAGTAATTAAGTTACTACATAAGAGAATAAATATTAAGTATTTTTTCTTTGTAATATTTTCCCCAGATAAATAAAAGCGAATTAATAATATGAACGCAGAAAATTTCAAAATCTAGGCTTCCTAGGATTAAATTTATCTAGTTCGGGAATGTGAAAACTGAGAATATGTCTTCCCTAGATCTCTCCTTCCATCCTTTTCTTTAAATGTCATTCCCAAGACTTATGTTTGCGTAATTACGTCGAGAAATTATAAGAAGCTCACGAGGACTCTCAAAACCTACACCTACCAGATAGTTACTAGTCGGAGCCTGGGTGGGTCCGGTTGCCTAGCAACACATCTGACTCAGCTATAGAACGTGGAATCTTCTATTTCAAGGGAAGGGGGTATTTCTTTTCCCCGTTTTATTCCATGGAATGCAGTTTCGAAAATGAACCCCTTTAGTGCAATGGTACTTCTAGGAAGCTCACTTAGTGATGGATGTAAAATTATTTCAGGGATTCTCAAAACGGGAGTAAAAGGAGAGCGAACTAAAATTATTCCATTTTTGAGGAAAAATGAATGCATAAACAAATGTCTAAGAGAAGGAAAATTTGATTCAAAGAAATTTATTTTTAAATTAGTAGTTTTAATTTCAGACACGATGGAGTTAAATATTATTAGTTACTCGATTATAATTTTATACTTAAAAAAAGGCAAAATACATAATTATTATTTATCAATTTAATTTTTATAATTTAATTTAATGAATTCATTTTTAAGGAAAAATATTTCAAAAGTAAATATTTGTTTGATGCGTTAATTTAATTTATTAAGAGCGAATACCTTTAGAAATTTTTTTTCAAACATTCATTTTTAAGTATTAGAAGAATTTTGTTAAAACACTGTCTCTATAAAACACGAAAAATATATTATTTCGTTTTAAGAGTTAATATTTATTTGTTTGTTTCAAAAAAACTAGAAAAAGAAAAAGGATGATAACTTTAAGATAAACAAATTTTGACAGCTTACCTTCAAATCTACATATTCACTATATGAATGCAGTTAAGGCTAAATGTAGAATTGATGCTTTATTTTATTGACAATTATAACAACTAAACGCTCAATAGATAAAAAATTATTACAACAGCATTTTCTAAGCTACCACACCCGAAAAACATTAAAAAGAAAAAGAAATCAAATTTTATCCAATGTATGTTTTAAAATTTCATTTGCCTGGTGCGTTTTTTAATTTCTTTCTTTCCCTTTTTTTTGTTGTCAAAAATAGAAATTTTAAAGATTTTATTTTTGTAACAAGCAAAAAAAGAAACGATAGAATACTTATGTAAAAACAGATGTTGTTAATTGAAAAGTTATTAAATTAGAATGAATGGCCCTTGATTAGCTAGAAAAATAAAAACACAAAAAAAAAAAAAAAAAAAAAAAAAAAAAAAAAAAAAAAAAACACTCTGAAAAGACATAAGAAAAATCGTAACCAAAATTAGATGAACATGGAAAGGAAATGTTTTCTCTACATCCAGCAAAATTTTTGAAAATGTTATTTTAAAAACAGTGTTTCGCAACTAATGCTGCATTACTAAAAAGCAGGGTAGAACAATAAACGGTGTATTTTTTCTCTTCAAAGAACACACAAAACCAGGGGGGGGGAAAGAACGTAATAATTTTTTGAATAAAATTTCTTTTAAATATAACACATAAAAATTTTATCTTAAAAATAAAAAACTACGAAAAAAATCAATGGACTTTACTATTACTGTTTAACTGTACTTCCTCTAAATTATCCTATAATTTGGTTTAAACCTTGTGCACTGTCCCTTGTTTATAAAGAGCTGTGCGCCTAAACTGACATATACGTCAAGGTTTTTTTCTTTCTTTTTTAAATTTTGAATCAGAAAGTGCATAGTACATTAAAACATTATTACCACAAAAACAGTAATTATATTTAAAAGAAAAAAATTATATTAATTTAAAATCTTGATAAATAAAAGCATAATGCGATTCAGAATGCGATAGCTTAACGGATATCTTCAATAAAAAAAGAATGTTGTATACTAATGCAGAATTGAACAGTAATGAAAACATATAAAAATACCAAATGACGCGCTTTTCCTACATCGTGTTTTCCTAGTAACAGATCGATACCTCTTATTTATCTTGTTTTCAAGCTTTGTTTAGAATAGAATAAGTCGCTTACGAAAAAAAATCATTACATTTTAAAAAAGCACTAATAAAATATTTTCGATAACATATTTTGACGGTAGTTAAAATTGTGTAAGAAAAAAGAAACCTTCAATGCTTAGAGAGCTTTACAATTTGAGTTGTATCAAGTAGATGATTCCCAATATTTTTTGTTTCGTTATACAATAATATTGTTTAGTTTAAATGCATATAATAAAACTTTTAAAAAAAAGTAGAAAATATCTTAACTGTTGAAATGTGAAATTTTTAAAGAATCAGGGGGCAATTTTATGATAAATTAAGAAAAATAATTCAATCGATAAATCAAAATGGAAGATAAAAAACTATTTCTTTCTTGCAGTAAAATTTTGCATGATTATTCAAACAAATAATTTCTCTTGCATGATTCCATATTCAAAATCAAAAATTCTTAGCTTGTGACATTTGTCTTTCTTGGCCTAAAAATTAAAATAACTCTTTGCCTTTTTTTTCAGTACATTAATATTCCTTATATCATTTGAGAATATCAATAGAAAAATAACAATTAATCGAAGACTCATAAAAAAAAGAAAATATGAAAAACTTAAAAATAAAAAAAAGTAAAATAAATTAGTGAAAAGGAATATTTCACAACCAATCAAAACCTCAATTTGATCTAGTTTTTTTTTACACTTATTTTATAAAGACAGGTGGCTAAAAGTAGTATTTTTTTTTTTATAATTTTGTAAACTTACACTCATTTAATGTATTTGTAATTAAATAAAAATATCTAAAAAACTCTGTTTCTTCTTCTTTTTTCTACTGAAGGATTAAATTGAAGGCCTCAGAAACAGTATTTCCATTTTCAACGAGATGAAAGATTTTGAAAATAATGTAATATAACGTAGATTTTTTTTAAGAAGATGATGTTTTCAGTACATTAATATTCTTTTTCAGAAGATGATGTTTTTCAGTACATTAATATTCTTTATATCATTTGAGAATATCAATATAAAAATAACAATTAATCGAAGACTCATAAAAAAAAGAAAATATGAAAAACTTAAAAATAAAAAAAAGTAAAATAAATTAGTGAAAAAGAATATTTCACAACCAATCAAAACCTCAATTTGATCTAGTTTTTTTTACACTTATTTTATAAAGACAGGTGGCTAAAAGTAGTATATTTTTTTTATAATTTTGTAAACTTACACTCATTTAATGTATTTGTAATTAAATAAAAATATCTAAAAAACTCTGTTTCTTCTTCTTTTTTCTACTGAAGGATTAAATTGAAGGCCTCAGAAACAGTATTTCCATTTTCAACGAGATGAAAGATTTTGAAAATAATATAATATAACGTATATTTTTTTAAGAAGATGATGTCCTCAAATTCGTATTAAACAATGTAGAAAAATGAAACTTTATTTAAAGCAACGTTAAAGTGCTATAAGACAAAAGTATAAAATAAATGTCTTCCTGCATTGTAATTGGAGCAATTAACTCCTTAAGTCTAAAAACAAAAATCTTTATACACTAACCTGGCTCTGTATTGCATCTGAATATTGATCTATTGATATCTGTATTGATTGACACTGTAGTTGCATCTGAAATATATTGTATCCTATATTAAATGATGCAATATGCGTTTTCACTTGTACATAAACTACTTAGCTCTTAAAAAAAATTGTGGTAAGGTAGCGAGCTGCTACAAAAATATAACACTTTTTAAAGAAAAATAGCAATATTATCTGTTTGATTTAATGCATTAAAATCATAAAGAATATTAAAAAAATAATGTTTCGTTAACATTAAGTTTATAAATACCATATTATTTGATGCTATAGTTATGTTATCACAATGAAAATATTAGCAAAACTTTTATAAACTGCTATTGAAATTACAATTTTTGTGCATCTAATACGGTGTTAACAATAAAATTCTGATACGTTTAAGAGAAAAGCAATAATGATAACATGGTAAAATACGAATACTAACTAAACTTTGAAATCTTTTCGAAAAATGATTTTCAGAAAAAAATTAGAAAATATTAGATGTTTAGAAAATTTTTTAGTTTAATAAGTAGAAATAATTTTTACTGTTTGATAAATCAATTCGAAACATTTTCCAAAAAAAATAATGTAAAAACTCCTTAAATTTAACGCGAAATTAACTTTATATTAATAAGACAAGATGAAAAAATTTTGATTTTAAAATTAATTTTAACTAAGTTTAAAATTACTTAAATTTTTTTTTAGATTTTTAATTACATTTAAAAAAACACTATAGAGTAAAATTAGGAAGGAGGAGCATGATTCGTCCCTTCAAATTACTCCTAACTATCTAACTTAGTAGTGTCTACACTTATTTCCTGACCAATTTTTTTTTCATTTTAACAATAACAGTAATATAGCAATTATAATAGGAGAAGCCGTTTCTTAATTCCTCAAAACTAAATTTAATACAGCATCTTTAATTGAAAGGTAAAATAACTCAAAAGGAGAAGAGATTGAAAAAAATATATTTTGAAATATTTTCATGGTGATATTTGATAAACACTTAAATTATATACATAAAATAATACACATAAAGTAAAATAATACACATAAAATAATACATATAAAATAATCATAAAATAATACATGTAAAATAATCATAAAATAATACATATAAAATAATCATAAAATGATACATATAAAATGATATATATAAAATAAATAAAATTATAAAAAAATATATAAAATTAATCTTAAATGGTAATAATAAAAACTTTTACACCTTTTAAAAGCTTCTTATAATCTAAAAAAAGGCATGTTTAGAACAAAAAGCATCGATTTCAAATGAGCGAGCATTCATTCTGAAAAGCGGAGAAAGCAAGCTCAATTTTTCCGCGCTCCCGCTCACTTCTCATGAATATCTCAAAAGCTTCCTTTTAATTGATCCTTCCACTCAAGGTCAAGGTTGGGTGGCATTGATTTGTTTTCCTCTCGCACCCCCTCGTTGAAAGGAGACGGCGACCACGCCACATCATCAATAAATACCTTCCCCATGCCTCTATCAAAAAGCATAGCGAAACTTTGACAGAGTTCATTTCATTTACGATATGCTTAACGGGAGAGTATGAGTACCCATAGTAATATACCTATCAACATAACATATTAATCTAATTACATGCAACCTATTTTTGATACAGCATTTTCTGAAAAAGAAATCTTATTTATTCCAATCTCTCCTACATATAGGCGTAGAGTATAATAAAAATTATAAGGACAAAATGAAGAAATTGCTTTGCTTCATTTCGTACACTCCCAATTTATTAGATAAATTGCAGAAAAATATTTAACGATGTACTAGCACAATCATTTAATGAAACTCAAAAATTTTAAAGTAGTATTTGTTAGAGTTAAAAAAAAAAATTGTTTTTTTATGAAGAAAAAAAAAAGATGTTGTATAGCAAATTGCACTTAATTGTTTTACTTGTTACTTTGTGGGAAATGTTCCAGCAGTTATTAGATAGCCTTTTACATCCACAAAACATTATATATATATTTTCAAAATAAAGTTAAATTATTCTTAAACTATTCTTTAATATATTCCTTTATTTATTAAAATAATACACATAGATGAAGTAATGTAATCATTTTTAAGACAAACTTTTTGCAACCGTTTAAGTAATGTTTAGAACGTGTATCAATTTTATTAGTTGTAACAACTGTTAAAGCTTTTCTATTTTTCTTATTTCGTTCAAATATATTTGACAGTTTCGAGCAAACATTTAAAATTATTGATAATTGTTAAAAGTAAAAAATTTTCAATCGCTGCATATCACACTATATATCATGTATATGTGTCATATATATGTTCGCTATACATCATCATATTTCAGTAAACCATTCACTATTTGCTCTTTATCATAGTTGATAATAATAATAATGATTTACTTCTAACTCGAATAGGTTGAATTAGTTCATTAATTCATCATTTTTTATTATTTATTACAGTTTTGCAATATTTTGTAGACTGATACGAAAAGTAAAATTAACGAAACTTTGCTTTGTTCTATTTGAAATTTTTTTTAATGTAATACAACGTAATCCTTTCTTAAAACCTAGTCTTGACTTTTCAGGCTTAAAAAGTTTTAATTATCAGCCAAACACTTGATTAATTAAATTTAAAAGAAATAAGGAAATAAGTACTTAAAAAAGTTCTGTACAATTTTTGAGAACATTAATGGGTTCTGAAGGAAATTTAGCATAATATGTAATAAGTCATTGTTATTATTGATATCTTTGAAAATTCAGTCGTCTATTCAGAAATATTGTTTCCTAAAATCATCTTTTAAAAACGTATTTACACTGTAATTAGTTTGAGAGAATAGAGGGAAATAAAAAAAAGTGTTCATTATTATTCCATAGAAACATAAAGAGTAAGAATTGTGATTATTCTGGAAATAAAGCTGGACTTGAGCCATATGGGAATGAGTCAGCATATTCTCATGATTAGCTCAAGTGAACAAGATTTGCAGCAGCACAAACTGACATATACCCAACTATATATTTAAAATAAGAGTGAAATAGGAAACTGGAATGAATCTTTGAGTACATTTTGATTAATTAGCCAAATAATAATATACGCAGCCACACATTCAGTATACATTTAATACGAGAAATACAAATAGAAAAACTTCTAAATGTAATTCTATACGGGATAGCATATAATCACTTGAATATCTTATAGCATTATACAAAATTATGTAAATATATCAAACGCTTAAAATCCTGCACAAATATATATATATAAATAGAGATAGATAGATAAGCACACAGGATAAAATAATAAATATAAAGATTTGATTGGAAATATGTATTTGATAGAAGGAGAAATAGACTTAAATTACTGAGAATTTAAGGACTGATAAAGTTTTAATTTAAGTATGATTGTCAACCATAGCATTACATAATGGTAAAGCTTTTTAACTCTTTTAAACGGTTCATTAAAAGTATTATTGCAAACAGTTATTGGTATTTAAGACAAAGATTCAAGCTTTGAATATAAACAACCTTAAAATTAATTAAAAAAGAAATATGAAGAAACATAATTTTAAAAGACAGTTTTGCTACGGAATAATATCTATTATTTCTGTAAAAGTATCCATAGTCAGAAACAGTGAACTTTTTATTTTCTTTGTGTGATTAAGTTTTGGTCAATATTAAGATATACTAATTTCATTTGAATATTCTAAAACTACTTGTTTCTTAATCTTAGATTAGGGTATTTGTCCTACCTGTGGACGTGGAAGGGCAGGAGGAAGAAGAGGTGGGTTGCCGATCCAGTAACATTCGGGAAAAGGAGCCTCCTTCTGCAAGGGTAAGAGAAAACAAAAGAACACAAAATCACTACCAGGACAACCCAAAACTAAAAACAAGGATTACAACAAATGCAAAAATCATGCTGCTTGTGGACAATATAGGTTTAAATAAAAAGGTTAAATATAGCATACATAATGAACAAGGAAATAAATACATAGAAATAAAAAAATAGGATTTTTTTTAATGTGTAGGTATACATTAAATATCAGACAAACTTATAAATGATAGAAAACAAATTTTTATTTAAAAAAAAATATTCGAGCTAAAGATAAGCATTAAGAAACTGAACTTATAAGTTCTACAACAGAATTAAGTAACGAATTACATTTAAATATTAATTTTACCATTTTTGGCAATTGTTTCAAACAGATTATAAAATTAAGCAGTTTAAATAATTAGCTAAAAAAATAACGGATATAGTTGAAGCCTTTCATATATTAAAAAGGAGATTTAAATAACATTAGCATACACATTTTTAGCAAGATTAGCTTTAATATATTTTAGACAAAAAAGATTATTTCAGTATACATACACATTAACAAAATCCTTGAAGTAGATATCTTATATCTTTTAAAAAATATATTAATATAAAATTCCTTAAATGTTTTAGCTTGTGATGAACATTTTGTGTAGAATGATTAAAAGTTTATTAATGATAAAATAAAAATGAATACATAAAAATAGATAAAATACAAAATAATATGTCACATAAATTTCAAACGACAAGCATTGAATAAAAGGATTTAGCAATGAATAAAAATACATAAGCTGTGCCAAAAGCTATCTACATTATTGAATATACATGCAAAAAAATTTAAACATCAAGATAAAATAGCTACGCCTTTGAATGATATAAAAATATAGACCATTAAATATTTTTAGATTAATTATCAGGAAATTTCTTTCACATGAAAATTTTCAGTTTAGTTAACAGGACTGAGCGAAGAACTGATCTTATTCCTAAATTTTATAAATTCAAGCTCAGCATCATCATTACCCTTTTGAGCAAAATAAAGCAAAAGAGATAAAGGAAGGTAAATTGAAATTTGTAAAACAAAACAACCAATAAATTAAAAGAGAAAATAAAGAGCATGAGTTACAATATATTTAACAAAAAATTTTATTAAAATAATATATAAGCATTTATATAATATATTAAGCATTTAAATATATCTATTTAATTGAATTATTTATAAACAGAGGTGCTTTTAAAATTCGGCCAAAAGTTAGCTTACTATTATTTAGGCCGAAAACAATTAGACAATCATAAATATTAATAACAACCTGAAAAGACAAATAGAATTTCCCAACAAATTAATTATTATTTAAGAAAATTTAACTAAAATATTGTTTTGTTCCGTCTGAAACAATTCATATGAAAATTTAAAAAGTATTAAAATTAAAAACATGAGATCAAAATTCAAAAAAATTTTTTTTTTCTTCATAAGCATACAGAATAAAATAAATAAGTCTAAGGCTTTAAAAAATTTATAAAAGTATTATATTACTATTTCAATTAACTACAAATAATTACTGTTGCGCATTCAATCATTGTCCCTTAATTTAGTATTTGAAAAAAAAAAGAGGATCGAAAGCTTTCATTTCTACTCATACAAAACAAGATTTTTTTTCTCTTCATGATTTAAGCTTACTAGCAAAATTTTTATTTTTATTAAAGAATGAAATGATTTTAAAGTTAAGAAGTATGTAACTTATAGAAACTAAATATAACATAAAACTTGATTTTTTTGCTTTTTTATTATGAATTTGTTTGAGCTAACTGAGAAATTAATCCAAAGTTTTTCTGAAAACTTTTAGGACTATGTAGGCAAACTTAATTTTTGAATGAACTGAATAAATGAAAGATCTATTTTCATTAATTAAACAGAAGTGCTAAAAATTTTTTAACCTCTTTCAGTAATCAAATCTTGTATGATATCGCTTTCATTATAAAAAAATTCTATAATTAATCTACAAAATTTGGTGAATAAATGAAATAGTTTTAACAACTTTAAGGTAATACCTAAAGTACAAAAACCAAATTAACCTCATATAGCAAATAGCTATGAAAGCTATTTGCTATATGAGGCTAGCTATGAGGCTAGCTATATGAGAAAGCTATTTGCTATATATAGCTAGCTATGAAAATTAATACAATTAATAAAATGCTTCAAAAACTATTAAATATTTAACTGAGTATGATTAATATTTAGAACCTTAGGATAACTTCCATGCTCTTTGAAATTGAAAGGAAAGCAATTGAATAGATAGATTTATTTTAAAAAGCAAAGCTATACAATTATGAATGATTTTTATATAGATATATATATACATTTGTAAGAATAAGCGACTTTACATTTACTCTACTGAAATATTCTATTATTGAAGAAATGATAATTTAAGGACTAAAAATATATTGATAGTTTATTTTGAAAAAAAAAGTTTCTGCCTAAAAAGTTCTGCCGTTTAACATTACTCTGAAATTTATTGACTTTTGCAAGTTCAGTATAATATTTAATTATGAAATCAAAAAACTTTAAATAATGACTAAGTATCAAGTATAGGAATCAATTAAAAATGCATGCGTAAATAATTATTCAAACTGATTTAAGCTTATAAATTAAAGCTAGCCGGCCAGGTAGCCGAGTGGTTAGCGTGCCTGACTGCGAAGCCAATGGCTGCGGGTTCAAATCCCGGTCTGGGCATGGATGTTTCTCTCTCTGTTGTCTTCTGATGAGTGAATGTATAAATGTGGCCCACCCTATGAACGGGTATTTGTAGTAGTGTGGCGTGGGTAATGTTGCTCGCCTCCGTGACTTTGGTTCACAGGTGCCCACTGGGTAACGATAAATGAGCAACACTTCCGGCATCTTCTAAGGCGAAGAACGAAAGTTCAGTGTCAGCCGTTATTAAAAAAAAAAAATTTAAACTTTAATTGACTTAGTCACTTAGTTAGTAGACACAAAACGTGCTGATACGGATTCAATGAATTGTTCGATGATAGAGATACAAAAGATAAAACTAAATAAACTTTTCGAAATCTTAGAAAAATTATTTATATAAAAATAAGATGTTAGTACATAACATAAAGGAAAAATTATTTAAGCATTAAAGAACTTAACAATAAAGAAATTCATATCACGACTTAAAAAAGAATAATTGAAAATTTTTAAAAAGCTGAAAAACTTATAAGCAATTTTGTCTATAGCCATTCTGTATTTACTTATAATTAAAATATTTATAAGTTCAATTAAAACAATAATTTAGTTTGGTAATATTATATTTTACCAAAATGGGTTGAATCTTAGACGAAAATTTAATCAAAATAGTAACACACGAAATGCAAATATATACTAAGAAATTGAAATAAATTCAAATACTGTTTGGGTTGCTAAAGTTATGAAAAATATTTTACGAAAACATTACAATGAACAACACAACCTTGATAGCAAAACGTACGCAACTATGTATTTAATTTCTTCAACATAATTTATTACTTTACATAAAAAAAATAACTTGCTTGCTCTACATCATCTAAACTCCTAATGCAAAATAAAATAAAAGAACATCAAAAATCTTCACACCTATTATGATCAAGTACAATATAGCTGCCAACTTTTACGCATTTTGCGTAAGATTTTATTTTCATACTTAAGATGGTAGTAAAATGTATGCATTATGTTTATTTCTCAGATTTATAAATTTAATTTCAAATGATTTTGATCACCAATGCATATAAATAAACTAATATATATATATATATCAAGATCTAACAAACTAAATAATATTTTTCTGTATTTAACTGTAATTCAACTTCGATTTTACTACCACTTGGGAAAATCCTCCTCGAATAGATAAAAAGTTGGCAGGTATGTAATTTAAATGATAGATTTGAAAAATTAAAATAAACAAAAAATGCAGAACAAACACAAAAGCTAAGATAAAAAGCACAATATTGAAGCTAATGAATATTAAAAATACATTTAATAGCACACAGAAAGAATGAGAAGAAATACGAACGAGCAAAACACAGAGCATGCTATATATAATGATCAAAGGAGAGTTTACTAAAATGACACAAACATGCTTGAAAAGATTGAAAGATAATTTTCAGTTAAGAAATCTTGTTTAGTTTATAGTTAAAATATTTTTTAAAGTAGCTAACCAAAAACAGACATTCTAACGATGAAAACATTTTATTTAAAAGCAATGTAAGAAAACTTCAAAGATTTCCTATTTTAGAAATATATCTTAGCTTTAAAATATCAAACTCTATATTCTATGCATCAATTTCTGTAACATTTAATTTGTAAAAAGATAATAATTTTAAAACGGTAAAATATAATAACATTTTTGAGGATTTTATAATTTATTTAAATTATATTTAACTTTCTGAAAGTTCTTTAATAAGAAAGTAATCTAAAAATAAACTAAATGTCTTTAAGAAAGTATTGAGGTAAACTTCAGTTATATTTTAATGAACCGTTATTACTTAATTAATTGAAATTTATTGAAGTGCCACTTAAATGAAATTATTTTGAATATAAGAAAAACAACTAACATTCACAAAAATTCGATTTCTAAACTCAGATTAAACAAGCTATGTCTTTAAGAGATAACGCAGATAATTTAGATAACGCAGAGGGAAAAAATAGCAGGAAAAATTTCTATGGGGAAAAATGCATAGTTAGTTTCCATTATTTTAAGCAAATATATATTGATCTGTCTACATACCGAAAATAATAACAATATATGAGAATCCATAAAATATGAAAATTTCAGAAATTTTTTTTAAGGAAATGAAAAAAAAAATTAAGTAGAAAGATAAAGTTTATTCTTATATTTCTTAACATTTGCCATAACCATAATTCATAAATTTCCAAATTTCCAACTAAATTTTTCAACTCTCCCAAAGCTGTTTTTCTCCATTTTCGCTATTCACAGCCTCATTATTATAAATATTACTAGAAGTAACATAGCAGCAGATATG